TGAGGTTTGGGGGTTGAGGTTTAGGGGTTAGGTTGAGGTTAAGTGATGGATTGAGGTTTAGTGGTTGAGGTTTTAGCTCTGACATATACCACAGTGCTGTACAGAGAACACTGAGCCAGTCACATCGGTTTCTGCACCAGAGAGGAGCTTACACTCTAATGTCCCCCCACAGTCACATATTATTATTATACATGTATATAGCTCTGACATATACCACAGTGCTGTACAGAGAACACTGAGCCAGTCACATCGGTTTCTGCACCAGAGGAGCTTACACTCTAATGTCCTCCTTTACAACCTCACTCTATTAGTTTTAGGGGCTAGCTGGCACAGGTAAGACTTGAGTGCTTTGCTGGGCAAAGCACAATGGTGGACAGAAGGTGCTATGAGGTGCCAGATCATTCCTCACGGGCCACAACCAGCCTGCTATCAGAGCCATCTTGGGATGTCCTGCCCTCCAGGGTATGAGGAGATCCTACACACCTCACCATCACAAATGCAGAGCCTGGATGACCTACCATCATGCCTGAGCACTGTCACAGAGATGAAGTGACATGCTAAGGTCATGGGCACCGACTTCTTATAGCAGGGTAGGTTTTATACTGCACCCTAGGGCCGGTGTTTGCAGGCTTTGAAGGACAAGAGCAGCGTGCTTTAGACATCAGTTTGAGATGCTTCGGAGGCCAATTCAGAATTCATTGCAGGTGCAGTTGACCTGCTTCAAGCTGCAATGGCAATCTGATGAACGTGTATGGGGAGAGGAACAGCTTCAAAGTGAACAAAAGGCCATCAACAATGGTCATCATGGAGTTGACTATGCTGACTATTCACCAATTATGTCAGCAGTGAGGTTAGCAGATATAATATTAGCCATTGCATTGAGGGATGCAAGAACTAGCCAAGCTGTATGGCTTAGCAGTAATGACAAGTGAGGTCACCGGCCTTGCTGAGAGGAGCTTGGATCACAATATTGGACATTTTCACACTAACTTAATATCAATTTAATCAACTAATTTTGCTGCTTTGAGTCTTTTCAGGGATACATTTGCCATTCAAGTCCTGATGAAGGGGCATTGTATGGACACCCAAAGCGTGTTTGCTGTTTGACTTAATGGAGAACTATTAGCTCTTCTAAGGGTAACGGGAGGACACAAACTAGCGTCCTCCCATGACCCAAAGCTCAGTATATAGAAAGCTACAGCTCGCGGTATACTGAGACGCCGTAGCTGAAGCGGATCCCGACAATTGTGTCTGGTTCCGCCCAGCTGCGTGAGTGACAGCTGGCTCTGCCTATCTAGAGGCAGAGCCAGCTGTACCCGCCCCCTCCCCCGTCCGTTCCACCAGTCAGCGCTGGAGGATTGGAGAGGGGAGGGGGGGGAATCCCTGCAGGGAGCCGTCGGTGACAGTCACGGCTCTCTGCAGGGATAGATCGAGAAGTGAGCGAGCGCCGGTATGTGTTCGCTCACTTCCCGATCTACTGAGCCGACCTGTGACAGTCTCATTGTCACAGGTCGGCTAGAACTATGAGGTGAGTGAAAATCACTCCCCTCATAGTTCTCCTTTAATCACCTGATGAATGATTAACGAGGCACTTTATCCATCTCTGTAAAATAACAACAAGCACACCTTTAGCAATGTTTGGTAATGACAATCTACAAACAGATACATATAGATAATTGGCGGCTTTGTATTCTTTACATGAGACATTTCAGCTGCAGAAAAACTTGATTCGGTTCGGATTTGTTTCGTTATTTTGGAATTCGGATCCGAAATTCAATTGGGTTCGGGTTTCGGATTCGGACGAAATCCGAATTTTCCGAAAATGAGCACCTAACCCTTGCGGCGTAGGGATAGCCCCACTGCAAGGGTTTATTTTTAGAAATCTTTTTGGGGCTCATTTCCACCAGCCCCTGCGCTCATCGCACTGTCCCGTGCCCGGAACGCAAGGGATCGCATACAGAAAGTCTCCTTGCGTTCTGGGGCGGGAGGGGGCGTGGTGGTGCCATTCATGTCAATGGCACCGCAGACACGCTCCCGCCTGCAGTGCGACAGGACCCCGTGGTAAAAAAAAATGCCCTGCGTTCCAGTCCGGTATGAGCGCAAAAAATAGTGCATGCACTTTTTTTGCGAATCGAACCGCACTGGAACGCAGGGCATTTTATTACCATGCGGTCCTGTGCGGCCGAGGGGAGGGGGGGTTAGCGTGTCTGCAGTGCCATTGATATGAATGGCATTGCCACGCTCCCTCCCGCCCCAGAACGCAAGGAGACTCTCTGCATGCGATCCCTTGCGTTCCGGGCACGGGACAGTGCGATGAGCGCGCGGGCTGGTGCAAACGAGTCCTTAGAGGAGAACTCCGGGCAGAAATGTTATCAACCATTGCAGCGGGGCTACCCACACACACTGCAAGGGTTAACTGCTCGTCTTTGCCTAGGGTAAAAATAAAAAAATTATGCTCATGCGATCCTCGGAGCCGGCAATGCTCCCTCCAGCTTGCATCCTTCTCTGCTGCAGCGATGGAATGTCCCTTGGCTTCCTCACGTCCTATACACTGTATTGAATGGGATGACTTGAGGATTCCTGGACCACTGCAGTGAAGGGGGAGAGACGCTCGAGGGATAGGTCTAAAGGTGCCCATACACTGCACGATTATCGTACGATAATCGTATGCGATCGGTTTTTCGTACGAGAATCGAGCAGTGTGAACGGAGACGTGCGACCGTTTCTACTGTACAGTCGCACGTCTTCTGTCGAACCAGCATGTTCGAAAACCAGCCGGGAATCGTACGATTCTCGTCTGGTTAGAACGGTGCTCGCAAGATAGATGCTGAACGGGCCGGTGTGCGCACGCGCACACTGCCGTTCAGCATTACGGTCATCGGAAGCCCGCCCCTCAGGGGGGCGGGCTTGCGATGATCGAGAGTGCGATCTGCCTGTCCAAGATAGGCAGATCGTACGTTTTTTTAATCCATGTACAACCATCGCAAGACTAAAGTCATCGCAAGACTAAAGTGCATCAGACTAAAGTCTTGCGATGGTTGTAGAGTGTATGGCCACCTTTAGAACCATCCGGCTTAGAGGATCAGGTGAGCATAACTTTTTTTTTTTTTTTACCCTAGGCAAAAAGGATCAGTTAACCCTTGCTGTGTGGGGGAAGCTCCACTTGAAGGGTTAAAAAACATTCTTCCTGGAGTTCTTCTTTAATTATGCCTTGTGTAGTAAACAGAGCTGACCCCTTCCCCCTGCTGTGGCAACGGCAAGGCTCCAGAGCGCCCCCTGCTGCCAGAGATCAGCACTGTCACTCACACCTAATTATATATGTGTCTGCTTGCTAGCAGCGTGGTCGGTAAACTGCGGGGGGGTTAAACAGTCCAACCCCTCATCTCAGCAACCCCCAGTGTGGATCAGAACGGGACCAAGTGCTATGTCCACTTGGTCCCCTGGGGGGTGTCATACCAATTTTACATGTGTGCTGACACTTCTTCTTATGCCTGGGCTCATTTTGGTCTGGCGTTCTTAAAGGAGAACTATGAGGGGGGGGTTGCTTTTCACTCACCTCATAGTTCTAGCCGACCTGTGACAATGCGACTGCCACAGGTCGGCTCAGTAGATCGGGAGGTGAGCGAACCCATACCGGCGTTCGCTCCCCTCTCGATCCTGTCACGGCTCTCTGCCGTGACAGGGGAGGGGCTGGATTCCCCCCTCCCCGATCCTCCAGCGCTGACTGGCAGAATGGACGGGGGAGGGGGCGGGTACAGCTGGCTCTGCCTATCTAGAGGCAGAGCCAGCTGTCACTCACGCAGCTGGGCGGATCCCGACGTCCAGGTCGGGATCCGCTCCGGCTGCGGCGTCTCAGTATACCGCGAGCTGTAGCTTAGGGTAACGGGAGGACGCTAGTTTGTGTCCTCCCGTTACCCTAAGGAGAACTATGGGGAAAAACACTGACCCCATAGTTCTCCTTTAATGCAACTTCTTACACCTTGCATCACAAGACTGTCTGTACAGAATTACAAATCCTTCCGCCGCACAAGATTGTTTTTTTTTTAGGTTTTATTTTGGGGTTCAGCTTTAGGAGCACTATAAGGCCTCATTCACACGAGAAACGGCCGGCGCGTACAGCTCCATACCGCATGCGCGGCCGTATCGGGCAGCTCCCGGGAAGGACAGGTGCTGCCTGTGATTAGTACGCAGCCCCTGTCCTTCTCTAAGGGAGTATGCGGCCGTACACCGCCCTATGCTCACCCGAAGTGTGTACGGGTGCGGGTGTCCCGGCTCGGACGCAGACAGGATCCATCCTATCAGCGTACGAGTACGGACACCCGCACCCACACGGATGTGCAGGGCGGGTGAGCGTAGGGCGGCGTTCGGCCGCATACTCCCATAGAAAAGGACGGGGGCTGCGTACTAATTATTATTACATAGTATTTATATAGCGCCAACAGTTTGCGCAGCGCTTTACAATATAAGGAAGACATTACAGTTACAATACAATTCAAGACAGGATGGTAAGGGGGGCCCCGCCCCTGAGGGCTTACACTCTAAAAGAGGAGGGGGAAATGATACATGAGGTAGCTGTGGGAATGAATTATGTGAGAAATCTACTAATCACACGCAGCACCTGTCCTTCCCGGGAGTTGCCCGATACGGCCGCGTACGTGCCGGCCGATTACAGTGTGAATGAGGCCTTAAAGTATCGGCGACTCTGTTCGTGGTCATTGTCCATATCTCAAAGCAGACAATGATCAGGAAGGATCGGTGAGGGCGCTTCAGAGGTTTTCACTGCACGCCACAATGCTAAACGCTCCTCAATAGACCTTTAGGTTCAACCGCATCAAAGGCAGAGCGGAACAACGGCGCGCGATGCAGTGCCATGGCAACTCGTATTTACAAGGACAGAAAATAGCATACAAGCCTCATTTATTTCCCCCACTCTGCTTCAACAAGAACCTTTAAGAAGCTGTAGAAGTGCATCAGTCTATAATGAGACGGTCCAGCGCGGCATCATCCTGCCTCTGATTGAAGCTCTTCACTTCATTACAGCCCTCTCCAATCATGTAGAAGTGCAGTCACAGCGTTCAGGGTCCATATATACAGGGCTCAGGGACACGCTTATTATAAGCAGGAGAATGCGGGCGCATCACATTCCTCAGCATTCATCGGCCACAGATCCCCAAGAAGGATTTTAAAGGGGAACCCTGGGCTGTGTTTGTGCCATATGACGCAGTGTGTCAGTAGCCGTCTTTCTGAGCCCCTCCCTTCCCCGTAACATGACCTATTGATCCTGCCAGTCCATCCTTTCCAACTCCCTCTATAGAGTGACAACACTGTCCTTCCCAATGTAAAATCACACAACGGCGTTGTCACTCTCAACAGGGTAGTCTTAGATGAATGCGTCGTTTTTCATTCATTTTAAGATTTGATGAAAAGATTTGGAGAGGAGACATGTTCCACTGTGTCTCCAAGACAGGAAGTAAAGGAAAATCTCCCCAAAGAGACAAAGACTTTAAAAGAAAAATGACAAGGGTCTTAACCTTTTCCTAATGTATGGAAAACAGGAAAAAAAGGTTTGTCTTTAATTGAAAGCCGAAGCTTAACTTGCTTACGTTTTGCCTTTCCTGCCTCAGTAGTCCTCTCAAGAGTCCTCAGAACCAATATCCAATGAATGGAAGGGGCGGGGCCAGGTACAGTCAGACTAGGGAGGAAAGTGCTAGATGATGGACATCCTCCAGCCAGGAAATGAGACGGGCTCTATCTGACTTGCTGCATCTTCTAGTGCACATTGTAGGAAGCTCCCAGTGTGCAGTGAAATCAAAGGAAGCTATTTGCGCGTGTAATCGGGCAAGTTTGAAGGGAAGGCCGGAGTTCAGAATACGTAATGACAAAGTTATTAGGGCCAATCAATGTAAAAATTGCTCTGGTCCATAGTGGGTGTACAAGGGGGAGAGCTGAAGTGGTTGAGGGGGTATAGTGTGAGGGGACCCTGAGGGGTATGATGGGGCCCTTTGCTCCAGTAAGTGCTCCTTAATTGGGCGAATTGTGGACAGAGTAATAGACCTGAGTCTGGCGGGGAGGATATTCCATTACACCGTCCCAGAAGCAGAAGTCTTCTTTTAGAAAGGTGACCTGGTTTACCTTTCTTCGTTGATTGATTCTATAGAGGAGGTCAGATCCAAGCTTGGTGGACATCAAATGCTGTGACCTTTACCAGTTGTTTTATCCCCAACGGAGCCCCGTCTATGAAAAGTGCGAAGTGCTCTGTGGGGGGTCCCGGAGCCCCCGGAGAGATCAGAGATTCCTGAGGTCATCCTCTATAGCTTTGTATTGGGAGGTTCAGGATGAATCCTCCTTGGACTTCAGAGGACAAAGATGATGTATTTATAGATAGGAAGATGGAGAGGTAAATCATCCCTTTAGCTGGCTCATTGATCTGTTCATACAATGGTGTCATGGTAAATGTGCGGGATCCAGGGCCGGTGCTAGGATTCTAGGCAAGGTAGGCAAGGTGTATTTTTGCGCCCCGCGCCCCGACCCCCTGTAAAAACAGGGCATTTTGACTTGTCACTTGTCAAAATGCCCCGATATTTGCGCTATGTTTTTTTTTTTCACTTTCCTTCGGCACGGGAGAGCAGCGGCGAGTCAGCGCTGGTCTGGTGGGAGGAGCTCCAGTTGGGGTCCTAATTTAGCTGGCCGGCGACTGAGTGAGGCGACTGGCCAGCGCGTGTCGGGATCCTCTGGCAGTCGCCGGCCAGCTAAATTAGGACCCCCCACCTGGAGCTCCTCCCACTGGACCAGGGCTGACTTGCCGCTACTTGTCAAAATGCCCTGTTTTTTCCGCCCTCACCCTGCAGCGCCCTCAGGCGGTCGCCTGACTTGCCTAACGGTAGCGCCAGGCCTGCCTTTAGGCAACAAACCCTGAATGTTTTGCTGTGCTACATTTTGCAAACTGTGGTGATGCACTAAATTCAGATTCAAATAAGCTTTATTGGCAGGAACAAATACATTTTAGCATCGTCAAAGCATATGGGGAGGTTTTATGGGATGGAATGGTGCACTAAATCACTTGTAGGCCCACCTCGGCACTCCAGCTGTGATGAAATCCCATCATGCCTCTGAGAGTCATGCCTGTGGATGTCAGAGTCTTGCAATGCCTCATGGGACTTGTAGTTCCATGACAGCTGGAGTGCCAAGGTTGCCTACCTCTGTACTAAATAAATGGGATACCTAGCTAAGCCCATTGCAGTGGATGCACTGAATGTATTAATAAAGGACATTGGAGAGCTGTATGGGGGGACAACTCCATATAAATCACCATGAGGAGACAACTCTATGTTAATGGCCATGGGGAGCAACTCCATATTTATGGCTATGGGGGAGCAATTCCATATTAATGGCCATGGGGGGTAACTCTATATTAGTGACCATTGGGTTGAATTGGGATGTCCAACCAGCTCATACAGGTGTGATGCTCTGGTGCCCACATCCTGCTGGCCATATATTGTATGCTCATATTGCATAGCCTGGTTTGTCACAGGTCCACTTTAAGCAAGAATTAATGTACATGGATTCCCTTCTGCTCTCTAATCTCTTCAATATTCGGCACTCTGAAAAAAAAAAGCTTCAATCCAGAGCCCCGCCCCCTCCTTTATATAAATAACATTGTCAGGCTGGGAAGGTATCGGGGTGAGACGCGTGCCAGATATAACCTCAGCCAGCTATATCATATGGCATCATTGCAGCATTACGGAACACTTTCATAATTAAAACGTCACAAAGACCAGAGGATAATCCTCAGAGTTCGGCATTATTCCCGTGCGTCTACCTGGATAAAGGGATAAAAACAGGCAGCGGCGCTCATGGGGTTAACGGTTCCCTTTAACAGCTCCAGCGCTGACATCTGAGCTCTAAAATGGAGGAGGCTGAATTAATGGCTTGACTTATTGACGGCCCCTCGCTTTATCAAAGAGCCGCTGGAGGTAGCCATGGCAACTGCCTGGGCACACACCGTGCGGAGGGTTCTTTATGAGGGGCGTCGGTGAAAAGGACCTATTGTGGGGTCTCCGCCTGCTGGAGGTCCATTTATCAGTCGCCTGTCAAGGCCGGTCGTGTGCGTCTCTGCTGGGCGACTGTCAGTTTGATGGAGATGATGGGGGACCTACCATACAGAAGATTTGTGAACAATTAAAGCCCAGCTTAAGTTACAGGGTGACTGAAGATTGTCGCATCCTCTGTCCCCCCTCTTCTCCTGGCCAATCACAAAACACAGCCTGGGGCCGATTGCTTTGTATATGGCTAGGAGGAGAGGGGGGTGAAGATGGGACTGTAGTGTTGAGGTCTGTGAGGCTTGCTGCACTACAGCTAGAGCGGGCACAGAAGTTCAGCGGAAGCTAGACTTCCACCCGCAGGTATATATTGTGAGGTCAGGTACTGATGTTGGAGGAGAAGGCCGGGCTCGCAGTCTCCACTCTAATTCATCCCAAAGGTGTTCTATGGGGTTGAGGTCAGGACTCTGTGCAGCCCAGTCACGTTCCTCCTCCCCAAACATGTCTTTATGGACCTTGCTTTGTGCACTGGTGCGCAGTCATGTTGGAACAGGAAGGGGCCATTCCCAAACTGTTCCCACAAACTTGGGAGCATGAAACTGTCCTTAATGTCTTGGTATGCTGATGCCTTAAGAGTTCCCTTCACTGGAACTAAGGGGCCAAGCCCAATCCCTGAAAAACAACCCCACCCCCCACAATCCCCCCTCCACCAAACTTTACACTTGGCACAATGCAGTCAGGCAAGTACCATTCTCCCGGCACCTGGCAACCGCCAAACCCAGACACGTCCATCGGATTGCCAGACAGGGAAGCATGATTGGTCACTCCATAGAACACGTCTCCACTTCTCTAGAGTCCAGTGGCGACGCGCTTTAAACCACGGCATCCCACGCTTTGCATTGCACTTGGTGATGTAAGGCTTGGATGCAGCTGCTCGGCCATGGAAACCCGTTCCATGAAGCTCTCTACGCACTGTTGTTGTGCCAATCTGAAGGCCACACGAAGTTTGGAGGTCTGTAGCTATTGACTCTGCAGACAGTTGGCGACTTCTGCGCACTGTGCGCTTCAGCATGCGCTGACCCCGCTCTGTCATTTTACGTGGCCTAGCACTTCCTGGCTGAGTTGCTGTTGTTCCCAGTTGCTTCCACTTTGTTATAATACCACTAACAGGTGACCGCTGAATATTTAGTAGCCAGGAAATGTCACAGAACACCTGAATCCAATGATTTGTAGGGGTGTCCCAATACTTTTGGCAATATAGTGTAGTTTGGATCTGTGAAGGGAGACTAACTCCCCTTTATTGCTCATGGTTTTGGAACAGGATGACCAACACGTTCCTATAGGTGTCATAGTCAGATGTCCACCAACTTCTAGTCATAGAGTGTAGTATAGTTTGGGTCTCTGAAGCAAATAATGTGTGTATGGGAAGGAGCATTCAAGGTCATAATTAACCATCACGCTGCCTTTGGCACCACTTTGTACTAGCTCCTCCCCTTATGTCATGTGATTGTTTTAATAAAAAAACAAAATCTAAAATGCACTATTGGAGGCGGCAGGGGATCCATTTTATATTCACACTTGCTTTTTAACTGTATAGAGCACCAACCAAGGGAAAGAAGAGATAGCTTTCCGGTGTCCTGAACTATGAAGTCTTGTGCCCCCTGGAGCTCTTTGCCCCTATATCTCCTTCCCTGCCTTCCCCCTATACCCTTCTTCTCCTACAGTTCTCCGAATGGGACCACATATGTTCAGAGAAGGCCAGCAAACATGAACACAATAAATATGTTATACAATTTGAGGCTTGGTGCTGCCCCCTGGAACCCTGCCACCCTACAAGGGGCAGTTCATATTTAATGGAAGGGCTCACTGATAGTTAACAAGGGGCATTCCCCCACCTTTCCTTGTCATGCCAAAGCAACCAAATCTGACTCCACCCCTCTATACTACATCAAAATGACTGGCACAATGCCTTG